GAAAGACAGTCGGGGACGGGTTCACCCCGCCCACTGACGTAGCCTCCACTGACTTCGACGATATCAACTATAACTGCGCCGCAGTAGACCACGCCCCTTCGAAACCACTCCGTTCATTTGATGGACGACTCCGCCCCTTCAAAGTGTTACAGCAACCCGTCTTATTGTAATGATCATACTTGAAATTTCCTACCGTGCATGTTTGCTGGGCTTGTGCTCCAAACATGGGCGAGAGAAGGTACTCGAACACGGCCACAATTACTTCCGGCATGCCATCACACTAAAAAAAAGGAATTGAGGAATCTATTCCTACAGGAAATCGATAACAGTCGATCATATCTGTTCGGAAGACTTCTCAGCTTTGTCGGTTACAGATATCAAATCCAAGAACTGGCCACGCCTCCTTGCGAAGGCCACACCCCAACGAGCAAAGCACTCTTTATAGAAACTCACACTGAGATCTCCGAATGCGGGTACCAGAAGGTGCAGAATGGCTGGTAAATCGATGAGCACACAAACGTTCTTTGCAGCTACACCAATGGCTGGAAAATCATAATTCAAATCTTTCATAACAATTACTTTTGTGATCCTTGCAAACAAGAGGACTGGCGGAAGGGCATGGATTGAACACAGCCAAGGCAGCCTCTTCCACCAATTGTTACGGGCTCAGAACGCTTTGAATGGTGGAAAAGGTCGCGCTGGCTGCGCTACAAGCCACGCCCCTTCACACGCCCTCTCCTGGGCAGGGGTAACGGCTGTTAACAGGTCAGCGCCAGATTTTCAATGAATGCGCAATGTCTCGCAAACATGCGCTTTACTACAGTTAACCCACCGGCTCCGTCTGCTAAATTCTGCTGTGATGTTCGTTCGTTTGACCTCCCAGCGACGGCAGTATTGAGAAATTGGAGCAAGGAGTATGCAGAGCTTGGCAGTTTGGAAGGAATTGAGTAATTCCGTGTTAGTAGTTTCGATACTTGCGAACATTTTTCAACCTTTGTGGGCGTTGCGCTGAATAAAAACTTTCAAGTTTCCATCCCGATTCCAGCTGAAATAAAGCGCACGTCCCTGCCATGACGAAGAATCGGGTGGTGTATTGGTGGTGGCTTAACAGAAAGTGAGAGGGAAAGGATCATGGTCAGAACTGATCACAAACGAACATACTAAGCGTATTTTTTAGCAGAGCTTTATGCGCTTGGAACTGTATGTGGTGTGTGGCGCGTCGCGTTGCGCTGCATTCCACACCCAGGCATCAAGAATCGCATGACGTGTACTTGCCTGTAACGCTAGATGTCGCGGTCGATTATTGGAAAATTCATTAATGAATAGTGTTCTTGAAACCGCTGATTGGAGAATGGCGCCAGCCAGTCCACGTGAAGGTTGAATGAACTTTTTGGTCGCCGATGCCGGTAAGCGCGACGCGTTCAAACGCTGCTGTCGCTGCGTTGGCCGCGTTGGCTACAGGAGGGATTAAATCCTGAGCGATGGGAACCTTAGTAAGAGACGAAAAGCGAAGTTGGGTTTTTATTTTCCAGAGAGCAGATATTTTGCGGTGGAGAGTGTTCAGACGTTGGCCTCCCGTAGTTCAACACTCCTCTGAATAAAATCAAGCAAGAAGCATATGATCTAACGTTTAGATTGTGTAGAAATATCAGTCATAGGTAAGTCTTACGATAACCTAGCAGCATGATAGCCTAATTAGAAAATTTGGTTAATTTGAATCCATCATTGATGAGTAGCTGAACTCGAATAAAATCATCTCCATTTCTTCATAGGAAAAACACCTCGAGAATCCGCGAACAGACGCGAGCGGTCGCGCTGCTACGCCTATACAGAGGGCGACATGGCACTCCTCTCACTCACCCAGGCCACAAGCGGCTTGCGGATCGATCATCGATGCCAATCCATGTATGAGATCCTTTATAGTGGCTGACACCTAGAATGAACGCATAGCTAATCGATCAATTGATCCCAAGACACTCGATCAATACCTTGAGCGTATTTGCGGCGTACTGCTTACGACATGTCTCAACGTCAGCATTGCTGCTGCACTCTGTCTTGACGTCATCTGCCAGCGATTGCAAGAACTTTGACTGAAAAGAAGATTTTAAACGGCTGATGTCAGTGTCTCAGCCTTATAGCCCTACCACTCGCTCATTCAGCACTGAAAACCCTTCACAGTCGGGGGTATTTGACGTCACAGACTTACACAGTTGAGCGCAGTCACGAACAGGTATCTAAAAAAGTGCATTGATTACAGTACTATTAGGCAAGAAACATTCCAGAACCGCATGCATGTACTTCGCAACTCGAGCTGCTGTGACCGACTGCGCTCCACCGATAATGCTTAATATCATCCTTACAACCTCGACTCTCTTCATGCATCTTGCTCCTTCACTGGACGGAAGCATGATGGAGGTGAAGCCAAATACTATTGATTGTGTTGTTGGATGCTTTAGTAGTCGGAAGGGGATCGCTTGGGATTGTTTGGGCGTGAGAGCGGCAAGTTGCATCTGTTTTTGTCCATTTCAGGCTCAGACGAAGGCGAAGACGCCGAAACGTAGGCCTAGTAATAAAGCCATCCAATCTTGTACAGGCTTGAAGACATACGAAAAGGATATCTAGCATCACTGCTGTCTGCAGAAATTTCGCACGTGCGACTATTCTGGAAGCTAACAGTTTCAATGGAATGTCTCGTTCCCCCCCCCCCCCGCCACGTCAAGGAATCCTTGCCATAAATTAGCTGAACGAGTTGGCAGTTGTCCGAGTATGATACATTCGACCCTCGAAGTGCGCGGATATGAGGCTAGAGGGTAGCGACAGCTCAATGTTGCTTGAGTCTCCGGCCTACGCTGTCCTCAAGGTGCAACATTGGCGTCAATATTAAGTCTCGCAGTTACCAATTGCAGTCGAAGATGGAGAACAACAAACGTGAGAGGGTGCAGACAGTAGCATGTTAGGCTGCGGTTAGTCGTGTAGCTGGCCGTGCGGCATGTTACCTGTGTGCGCGCTTTGCGTGCGGGCGGAGACACAAATGGCGCCAGTTGTCGCTATTTTCACGCCTCATTTCTACGCACTTTACAGCTGCCAACCCGTCCCCCCCCTCCGCTTCTCTAATATGGCAGGAACCTAATAGGCTAGTGTACACTGTGAAGTAGAGATTTTACAAATGGACATTACTGTAAAGAAACCATTGGAATTATCAAGTGAAATCATTTAATCTGCATTCGTATGCGAGCTGTATGTCTTTTCCTAACCATCGACGAATGCTTTGAGGGTATGGCTCTTAATGTGAATTAGGAGTTGCTATGGTCCGACGATTACTGGTGGAGCGCTGTCGGTCGCAGTCGCTCGTCGCTTCGCAAAGTATGAACGCATTCTAACAGCATCGATTAACATTGATTGATCGACGTACTGCGTTTATTTCGGACGTGGACCATGCAAGAGCTTTCACGGCGTAGGGCTGGAAGACGGTCGGGAGATTGACGGCTTGTGAAGAAAGGTGATGAGAAAGCTGCAAGTAATAGATTTATGAAGGCTTCAGA